GACGTCAGAGAATTCTTCCAACACAGGAGCGACTTCTGGGGGAGCTGTATTAGCAATATCCTTAGGAGCTTCTCTAGCAGCGAGGGCGAAAATGGGAGCTCCATTGGACAGTTCACGATCAATCTCTTTAGCTCCAATTAGATTAACGCCTTGGGAAAACTTGTTTGGATCGGGCTTCTTGTCATTACCTTTCGGTTGAACCGGAAGGATCTTGACCTTCTTCCCGTCATGCTCGAATAATAGCATATTGGATCGCCCGAAGATATGAACGTCGTTATCAAATAGCCAGGGTCTTCCAAGAATAACTTGACCCACATCCATTTTCAGAACATCACACCAAACTTTGTCCTTATAAATGGAAAATTGGAGAGGGACTAAACATCTCTCTTGGACATTGAGTGCAGTGTCGTTAATCCATGATACTTTATATGGATTAGGATGGGGTACAACTTTAAGACCAATCTTAGCAATTACTACTGAGGAGACCGCGTTAATGCAGCTTCCACTGTCCACGATCACTTTACAATTTTTATCACCAATCTTTGTGAACGTATGGAAAATGGAGGTACGTCTCCAATCATCAACAGCCTTGGATTGAGAGGTGGCGCATCTGACGACTGATACAGTAGGAGTTTCGATTTGCCTAAGACAACCTAAGACAGTATCATCTGCCTCATCCTCGAAATCATCGGTATCATCGTCAACTTGATGGATAAACTCGTCGTTATCAAGCTCAGGTTCAAATTCGTATTGTCCATCGATTATAGCAACCTTGTGACGGGTCGGACAGTTCGCAGCAACGTGTCCATACCCTTGGCATTTATAGCACTTGACGTGAGGGCCGATCTTGGAGAAATCTCTCTCCGGCTCCTTGCCTTTGGGGTCGACTTTAGGCTGGGAAGAACTAGGGTTAGATCGATTCGGAGGCTGACTAGAGGTAGTGGCACGCGAAGACTGGGAGGAATAAGTTCTAAAGTCCTGATTCCTATGGGATTTGGCTTCATCTAAATCTTGAACTAATGCGTAAGCCTTCTCAAGGGTGTCTATTCCTCTAGCAAAGAGTTCAGCTTGGAGGTCATTTCTCAACCCAGCTCTAAACTTTGACAGGACCTTCATTGGTGCCTCTTGCTCAATGGTACTGCATCGAGTAAACAATTCGTCGAATTGCGCAACATATTCTTTCGCAGACTTGGTTCCTTGAGTGAGACGATGCCACTTGTCTAACAGTCTATGATAAAACGATGGCGGGAGGTATTTTCGTTTTAGTTCATCTGCCATTTCTCGCCAAGTTGTAATTGGTAACTCACCTCTAATATGCCTTAGTGTTTCGAGGTTGGACCAATATTGGCAGGCAGGTCCGGTGAGTTTCATAGCTGCGAATTTGACCTTTCGGGGTTCCGTCAGGGCGTACCAATCAAAGTAGCGATCTATGTTCTTCAGCCAGTCCAAGAAAGCTTGTGGATCGAGCTTGCCATCAAAGGTTGGTGCACTAACCTTAATGCTCCTCAAGTATTGCGCGTCCGGATCAGGTACAGGTTGATGTGGGGGTCGATGAGCGAAGTGTCCATAACCTTGGCCTTGTAATGGTGGGGCGATGGGTCCAAAGCCTTGATCGTTCGGCGGAGGAGTTGCAACACGTGCTTCTTCTAGCCTCGCTAATCTCTCGTTATTGTCATTCAGGATCTCGCGGGTAGCTTGGCTCTCCTGGGCTAAACTACCTATTTGTCGTGCTAACTCAGCTATTTGCTTAAGAAGTTCGGGATCTGTGTTGCCTGACATGCTGGACTCACTAATTGACTCACTTGACTCTCCCAATCGATAGTGTAAACCTGTACGAGTGGGCATGCACTACCGCTAAAGATGAAATGTGTGTACTAACAGCTAATGAGATGATTTTTTTTTTTATAATGACTCAACTAAAACAATTTTCCTAACCTGAAAATTAAAATAAAATTCCTAACCTAGAACCATGCTCTGATACCAAAAATGATGTGAAACAATGTGAATGCGGGTGCAAGATCAGCGACAGCAATGCTTCACCAAATCAACGATCAATCTAGGCAGGAAGCTCAAGAATAAAATGAAGCGAACGATGGTTTTTAAGCAAAAGTTGCAATGTACTAAGTTTGAACCTTTGTAAAATTATTCTGATAAATAATGTAATGATTTGTTCTCTTAATACAGTTCAATTTGTAATATTTAGATAAGCAGAAATACTCAGCAACAGAATTACTCGCTCACTATTCAAACTGATACAGCATAATCGCAATTGATACTAAGATTGAGAATAACATGCACGCAATAGCAATTCCGAAAATACTTGGGCGTAAGAAAATTAAACCTTCGTCGGGTTGGACTGGTTCGATGGGAGGATCCTCTGGAGGCGGTGTAAAAACTCCAAATGTGAGTGGCGGGAGTTCTCCTCCAAGAGCTACGTAATTGGGATGAAGCGGCGTATCTGGATGAAAACGTCGGTGCCAAGAACTAATGCCCAAACTGCTCTCCACACTGTCTACAAGCTGATAAGTCACGCGTTCGACGTATTCAGGAACACTCTCAGACGTCCTGTAATCGAACCACGAGGAAAGCTGCAAATCAACAATACCAGTCTCGGGATCAAGCACGAGGTCGTAGTCTTCAGCTTCAGGATCAGCCATACACTAACGAACTGCGGAATCAAAAGTCGGAACACTGCAGATTGGGTCTAATATCAAGGTCTGGTCCAACTGAACCAATCAAGTCTAAACCAAAGTAAACCAGACCCAAGTATGAAATAAGATGATCTGAACCAAAATAAATCAATCCCAAATGTGAAGACCGGATCTTTCAAAGCCCTAGACCCGATGTCTGCTCACGAGCGAAGGGCGACGATTGACGATGCGAGCGGACGGCAGGACAGGGCGTCACGACGACGATAGGGATGAAATCGCGATGGCGATTGTGGTCGCGGGTCCACGATGACGAGGGCGGCGGGCGGTTAGACGATGGCGAAGACGAAGGAGGGCAGGACGGTCTTCAGAGGGGTCGAACTCGGGGCTGGCGGCGTGGTTGAGGGCGGGGTCACTGTCGGAGGTAGAGGACGGAGGCGGCGGCTTGACAGAGGAAGGAGCGGCGGCGGTTGTTTGAACAGAAAGAGGGGAAGCGGCGATCTAGGGTTTCACACCCACGTTTCACACGTTCAATCACTCAGGTAATTGCAATTACTTTCAAAAATATTCATTGATTCAATTCTGATTACAGAAACGTTTATATAGAGATTATTACAGAATTTAAAAACTCAATCAAATCTCTCAACCTCATCCAATAACAAACTAAATAACTAATAACAATTCTGATCTAAAACCAACTACTAACTGAAAATAACTAGAATTTCTAAAGTATCAAAACCATATCCCTGCGATCTGATGTACAGCTGGAATACGGCGTCTCCTACGCTGATAAACACGGTGAAAGTCCCGTGCACGTGCCTGGATGTCCTCATCAGTTAGTCCTTGCACATGCCTGCAACAAAGACGAAAAAAGGAGAACATCACTGAATTCCTCTAATGAAAAAAAAAATGATCAAAAAAGGAAAAAAGAAAGCTTATAGACCTTGGAAGACAGCAGAACTCACGTATCAAGGAGGAAAAACAGCATGCAGTCCTGACCTCAGGAGCCCTGGAAAGTCTCCTAATCACACGCTACCAGCATCAACCTAGAAACCAAATTTCCCCCATTTCAAAACCCTAAACCCAAAAACAATCCTAGATGAAGAGCTTTATTACAGTTGTAGCCATTTGCTTGGAGGTCATGACTCATGAGCAGAGCACCTGCCCGTGTGGGTCCAGCACAAATCCAGCCCGGGGTTTGGGCAGCAAAGAGGGTGGAGGTATTCTTCTTGTCAGTGAACCACCACCAACCCTCCCAAAAAACCCACCAAAACGAAAAGAAAAAAGGAAAAATAGCCACAACCATACATTACAGAGGGATACAAATTAAAATCAACATGATATACTTACAGAAAAGCTGCCAACAGACCACATCCAAAAAACAATTTCAATATTATATTATAGAATGAAAAGAACATAGTTCAAAGTCAAAAATCTTAACCCTATGTTTTAGAAGAGGATAGCAGCAACTTGCTAACACAGCTGCTAGACCACAAAAGAAAAGTATTCTGGGAGCAGTTTATACCAGACAGAAGTATACCAGTACACATCAAAAAGCTTTTTCCAAACTAAGAATCCAAATATCACAACACAGTATCCAAAACAGTGTCCTAAGGCTAAGGCCAATCATTATCAGGAATCTCAGGATCCTCCATGAATTGGGGTGAACTGGGGGAATGTAGGTTGAATACTGAAGATCCTGAGATTTTGGACAATAAACCACCAGCAGAGGAGTGCAAGGTTCAGATTCTGATTCAGGATAACAAGGAAGAGGAGCTGGTTGAGGATTTGGGTGAATACATACCGAAGCTGAAGCCTCTACTCATAACACGAGAGGAACTAGGGGAATGTAGGTTGAATACCGAAGATCGTGAGGTTCCGGACAATGAACCACCAGCAGAGGAGGGCAAGGTTCAGATTCTGATTTAGGATAGTGAAGAAGAGGAGCTGGTTGAGGATTTGGGTGAATACATGCCGAAGCTGAAACCTCTACACAAGAGGAATCAGCTTCGGCATGTATTCACCCAAATCCTCAACCAGCTCCTCTTCTTCGCTATCCTAAATCAGAATCTGAACCTTGCCCAACTCTGTTGGTGGTTCATTGTCCGGAACCTCAGGATCTTCGGTATTTAACCTACATTCCCCTAATTCCTCGTGTTATGAGTATAGGCTTCAGCTTCAGCATATATTCACCCAAATCCTCAACCAGCTCCTCTTCCTCATTATCCTGATTCAGAATTTGAACCTCGCGCTCCTTTGTTGGTGGTTCATTGTCCGGAACCTCAGAATCTTCAGTATTCAACCTACATTCCCTCGGTTCCTCTCGTGTTATGAGTAGAGGCTTCAGCTTCGGCATCCAGCCACATTTCCCTTTCCCTCATCAGTATCTTTTCGATCTGCTTGGATGCTTCGAGCCTCCTTTCCCTTTCTTCCATTCATACATTCTGTAGCGAGTGAGTTCAAGTCCTCAAATTCCTGCCTCATAAGTATGGTTTCAGCCTTCTTCAGTAGTTCCCGGCCTTCCTGATTGAACTGTATGTTCTTTTAAAATTCAGCATTCTCCAGTTTCAATCTGTGGAAGGAAATAAATTGAAATACTGAATACAGAAAGTAACCTAAGCCAATGGAATAATTCTCAGCCAATGGAATGACCACTTACAGTGCAACATCTTCAGTCTCCGTAACTGCTTTAGATGCTTTAGCTGATGCAGGACATTCCCCTTTGTTAACGCTGTTTTAAAAAAATAAGAAGGAATTTAGCTCAGGGTTCCATTTCCAATATCTCATAAGGAATTTAGCTCAGGGTTCTATTTCCAATATCTCAAAAGGAATTTAGCTCAGGGTTTTATTTCCAATATCTCATAATAATATTTGAGTCAAATGAAGAATAAAACATAGATCCTAACCAAATATCAGATTAGCATACAGAACTGAGAAACCAAAAAAAAAAAGAGCATAAGCCAGCCAGTAACAGGTAGAAGTACAAACATTAAAACCAATATGCTTCTAGATAGATGTTTCTAGAGACAGTAATTCTATTATCATAAATTAAAAACAACACCTGCATGCCCCCAACTCCTCTCGTGCTATGAGTTGGGCCTTCGGCTTCGGTACGCGACAGCTACATCCAGGATCTGCTTGGATGCTTCCAGCCTCATTCTCCTTTCCTTCATCGATATCTTCTTTATCTGCTTGAATGCTACCAGCCTCCTTTACCTCATATTTTTTCTGGAGGATGAGTTCGTCAAGACAACAAACTCCTGCCTCATAATAATATTTTCAGCCTTGTCCTTCAGCATTTCCTGCTCGAGCTGTGTGTTTTCCTAGAAGAGTTCTGCATTCTTCGGTTTTAAAATCCGACCCCTGTTAGATATAAAAAACAAATTAGGGTATTCCTAAAGACATCTTACCTAAGGAATTTACAATAATCTTTATATAACAGAATGACCACCTACAGCGAAACGTCCTCTATTTCAGAGACAGCTTGAGATGCTTTAGCTGATTCAGACTTTTTTCCTTTTGTTAATGCTGTTTAGACAGAATAAAGGGAATTTAGCTTAGCGTAGTGAACACTGCTACCTATATGTATTGCCAACCTAACGGTATGACCACTTACATTGAATCCTCCGCAGTCTCAGTTATAGCATTAGATGCTTTAGCTAATACAAGGGAATTAGCTTATTCAATTATATTTATTAAACTTAATATTTAGTTTTAACCAAAATGGTTAACATCAAATTAACAATTGGGTGTAATATCAAATTATTAGTATTATATAAGCGTATGTATATAGTAACGTTCTTCATCAAACTTCTGATTATTAAAATTTTATGATACAACGAAATCATGTCGAGCTCACCATCCATCAAGAAACTGCAACTCTCCTCTACCGGGGATAAATTCTACAACGTCATATTTTTGTCATGGTTAACCATACCAGCATCTTAATCTCATAATCCATTTTCTTTCTCTTCTTTGATAGAATCAAGTTTCTGAAGGAGCAAAATTTTGATACATCTGTTATGGATAATGGCGTTCAACAAAAACCCACTTCAAAGGATGAATGTAAGTTCTTTTATCTAAATTTTCTTTTCTTATTCTTAATAAATATTAAAAATTTCCCTATTCTCCTTTTTAAGGACAGCCTTATCAATTTATTTTTTTTCTTTATATTTTTTCTTATTATATGTAATTTATTTATTTATTTATATTTTTAATTATTTTAAAAAATATATTCTTTTTTAAAAGAGTATTTTTAATTATTTAAGTATTTTGTTCAACAAAAACCCGTCAAATGGAAAATGTAGTGTAAGTTGTCTTGAGATTTACGTCTCTATAATATACAAGATAAAATAAAAACCCAAGATGAAAATTGATAAGTGTGATCTGTAAACCATTAATATACAAGATGAATATCCTTTTGTAGTCTATGCGTTACATCAAAATGTCTGGCACATGCAATTTGTTCAATTAAGGTAAGATAAAATAAAAAAAGGTTTTTATTCATTTTTTAAGGAATGTTATTTCATGTGTTGCATTAGTTTTATGATCTTTTTGTAGTGTAAGGATACCTTAGTCCACGAGGTAGCATTCGTAAATAACCAGTTACTGACATCAATTTGATTGATGGGTGGAACCAAATTATAGACCTTGAGGCGAAACCTACCTAATAGGTTTAGTGAGGAATAGATTTTTAACTTCGGTGGATAAGCTATCCTTCAACTCTAATTAAAAGACTAACTACACGCCAAGTGATTTGTTGTCTTTGTTACTTCTTGATTTATATAGAATGAATCTTTAGAAAGCAAACGAATCTCAGTGGGTTGCGGTGTTGTCCTTTAAGATAAAGGTAAAAATGGTAAAAATAGTTTGAAGTTCTTGTTTTAAAGGATGTTTTTGTTGTGTTGTTAGCTTACTTCAGTTTAATTAGAACCCATTAATAAAATTGTAGCCAGTAACAGGTTATGTTCAGTGCAACATAACAAAAACATCCTTTAAAACAAGAACTTCAAACCATTTTTACCATTTTTACCTTTATCTTAAAGGACAACACCGCAACCCACTGAGATTCGTTTGCTTTCTAAAGATTCATTCTATATAAATCAAGAAGTAACAAAGACAACAAATCACTTGGCGTGTAGTTAGTCTTTTAATTAGAGTTGAAGGATAGCTTATCCACCGAAGTTAAAAATCTATTTCTCACTAAACCTATTAGGTAGGTTTCGCCTCAAGGTCTATAAATTTGGTTCCACCCATCAATCAAATTGATGTCAGTAACAGGTTATTTATGAATGCTACCTTGTGGACTAAGGTATCCTTACACTACAAAAAGATCATAAAACTAATGCAACACGTGAAATAACATTCCTTAAAAAATGAATAAAAACCTTTTTTTTATTTTATCTTACCTTAATTGAACAAATTGCATGTGCCAGACATTTTGATGTAACATATAGACTACAAAAGGATATTCATCTTGTATATTAATGGTTTACAGATCACACTTATCAATTTTCATCTTGGGTTTTTATTTTATCTTGTATATTATAGAGACGTAAATCTCAAGACAACTTACACTACATTTTCCATTTGACGGGTTTTTGTTGAACAAAATACTTAAATAATTAAAAATACTCTTTAAAAAAAGAATATATTTTTTAAAATAATTAAAAATATAAATAAATAAATAAATTACATATAATAAGAAAAAATATAAAGAAAAAAATTAAATTGATAAGACTACTATTAAAAAGGAGAATAGAGAAATTATAGATATTTATTAAGAATAAAAAAAGAAAATTTAGATAAAAGAACTTACATTTATCCTTCGAAGTGTTTTTGTTGAACGCCATTATCCATAACAGATGTATCAAAATTTTGCTCCTTCAGAAACTTGATTCCCTCAAAGAAGAAAAAGAAAATGGATTATGAGATTAAGATGCTGGTATGAATAACCATGACAAAATATGATATTGTAGAACTTATACCCGATAGAGGAAGTTGCAGTTTCTTGATGGATAGTGAGCTCGACATAATTTTGTTATATCATAAAATGTTAATGATGAGAAGTTGTATGAAGAACGTTACTATATACATACACTTACATAATACTAATAATTTGGTATTACACCAAATTGTTAATTTGATGTTAACCATTTTGGTTAAAAACTAAATATTAAGTTCAATAAATATAATTGAGTAAGTTCTAAATTTGAAAAAAGAAGGGGTGTTTCACCCTCTAAAATCTTAATGAAGATGACTATGGATATTTCACATTTTGATTAAAAATCAATAAAAATTGGGTTTTAAACCCAAATTGACCTAGTTTAAAGTCGTTTGACCAACTTTGACCCATGTTGACTATTTGCAATTGTTACGCTGAAGTTTAAATCTTTTTTAAATTTTGAGGTATAATCATAATTTTAAAAGGTGTAATTTTAGGGATGAGGGTGGGGTGTTTCACCCTCTAAAATTTCAACGAAAAAGATTATGGGTGTTTCAACAATTATTATTCTTTTAACTTCAAATTTTTGATTAAAACCCAATAATAAAAGTAAGGCTCTAAACCCTTTTTGACCTTGTTTGACCTTGTTTGACCGACGATTATAGAAATAACGTTAGGCGATTACTTGCAAATGTTACCGTAAAGTTTAAAGCTTTTTGAAAATTTGGGGGTATAATCATAGTTTTAAAAGGTGTACATCAAATGAAAAAACGTGGAACGGTATAAATGCCGGGAAGCAAAGTTTAGGTAAGGGGTATAATGGTGTAAAATAAATTTAGGGTATGAATTTTTTTATAGACAAATGTGTAATTTAAGTGTACTAAGTTCAAATAATCGTAATAACGAACAGAAAACAAAATTGATATCCTCTACTAAAAATAAAATATTGAAAATGAGAGAAGTAGTTAACTTTCGTTCATAACAAAGCAAAATAAAACTAAATTTGCGTTCAAACTCTATTATTACCAGATAAAAAGAAAGAAAAACCATCCCTTCTAGCAGATAACAAAATAAAACGAAATAAAAAAAATACTAGAAGTTAAATCAAACGAAAGGGGAAAACTAAAACTTAAGATCAAGCTTTTAAAAACCCTAGTTTCATCTCCTTAAATATTGGTTGTAAACGGGTCGGATTAGACAAGTTAACATACCGCCCATATATATAAGGACGATATAATATGTTAGGGAAAGGTTTTCACCGCTGGGTAAACGACCGAATCTGAGCGAATATCTTGCTATTCGAGTTCGAATTCAACCCTAATCCACATGTTCGAATTCGTGTTCATATTCGGCTCGAAGACTTGATATTATTCGAATTCGATTCGAGAACTTATATTAGCATTCAGTAAGCACTCACGAATATTCGCTTAGCAACTAATTTCAGTCAAAATGAAAAAAAATGAAAAAAATTTAAGCTTTATCTTACATTTTGATGAAAGGATGGTAGATTGGGGTGGTCGACGACACGCCGGCTTCGAGACTCGAGAGGAAGTGAGCATCGACGGAGAAGGAGACTGTCGAAGACGAGTGAGGGCCGAGCGGAGGGGCGGATCTTGGAGAGAATAGTCGGAGACAAGTGGCCGAGCGGCTGAGCGAAGGCGGCGGATCTCGAAGACGGTCGTCGGAGTGGCCGAGCGGTCGTCGGAGTGGTCGAGCGCTGAGCGGATCTCAAAGATGTGAGGAGAGAGCCAAATCCCTATAGTCAGGGTCTGGAGTGAAGGGCGGCGGCTAAGAAAATTTAGATAAAAATTTAGAAAATTTGGAATCCCCTCTTGAGTATTTATATAGGTTATATTTGTGTATAAAAATTTAGATAGGTAGTGTTTGCTAAAAAGTTTAATTAATATGACTCAGATGTAATAAGATAAAAAAAAGTTATCGAATAGTTAATAATCAATCGAATCAAACATACCTTTAGTTAAATTCTATTTGTTTATAAATCGAATATCTAAAAAATATTTGTTTATTACTAAATGGATTATCGAATCGAACTTGATCGAATATCTGGCCGAATAATAACCGAACTGTTTATTAATTATTCGGTTCACTTCCACCTCTAGGCTCAAGTAATGGCCCGTATTAGCGTTGTGTTGTTTAATACTAAGGGTAATTGCATATTAGGCCCTTAAAATAGTTAAATCATGTCTAATGCCAAAACTTCCTTCAAATATTGGTATTTGCCAAAAAAAACCTCAAAACTTTATTTTTATTGCCAATTCAATCCTTCTATTAGGAATTTTGTTAGACCTTAACTCAACGTGCTAAATCACCTAATTGCCCTTGAAAGCACTTCTTCCTAGTTTGGGAAGTTAGAGGATTGTATTGGCTTTAGAAATAAATTTAACTGTTGGAATAACTTTAGTATGAGTTCGCAGGAAGTTTGGATGGGGATATAATGGGAAATTCATCCATTTCCTTTTGAGTTTGCGGAATTTCATCCATGAGCTTTGCTACAGTGACCCAAAATATGGAACCAATAGGGGGGACAAGTGAGGTGTCCCCATCCTATTGTATAATGAGTTAGCCATCATTAATGATGGCCAACTCATTATCCAATAGGAGGGGGACACATCACTTGTCCCTCCTATTGGTCCTATATTTTTGGTCCTTGGGGAATTTTTCTTCACCCAAATACACAACTTCGTCTAATCAGAGGGATGAATCAGCAATAAAAATGAAGATTTGAGGGTCTTTCTAGAAAATACTAGGATTTGAGGGATTTTTGGTAATTAATGATAATATAAAGACTGATATGCGAATACTCGTTATTACAATTTATTTATTTATTTATTTCACTACTTGTAGAAACGTCATCTGAAATATCGTAAGTATTTTATGTGTCAACCAAAAAAATCATCATTAAGGACATAACTTATGAGGCTCAAATGTGTTGTACTAGTCACTCCTTGGCTATTCTCTTTATGAGTAGATTCCCAATAATTTGACTCCTATAGATTCAACACAACCTCTTCCTCCTCTTAACTCTTAATGAAATAGTACTTGATCTGAATTTTTATTCGATTTCTCAAAACTATTTTTGTATTTCAAATAATCAATAGTTGACATTCTATCATAACAGAGAATAATATTATTCTTCGTGTGTCGAGCTACATCAATATTCTTCGAGAATCTACACAATGACATTATCCCCGGTGTTATCGTGCATATCGCCACATATTTTATCTCTAGTGAAAATATGCTATGCATTATTGCTTCTTACTACTCTCTGAAACGGTCATGCCATTCAATAGGTAAAAATAACTAGAAGTCGATGCTCGCCCATTCAGATTGTCAATCCAATAGGCATTTAAGTATCGTAGGAAAATGTATATTGTGCTATAGTACAATATACAAGTAAAATCTCAATCAAATATCTGAAGATCATCTTGACTCATCCTAGTAAGTCTCTAGGATTTACACGATGCCTATGCATCAATCCCTCTACAACGGATGTGTCGGGCCTTGTGTGCACACATAACTACTGACTATATTCCTATAAGGGATAATCAATATTCACTTCTTCTTTCCTTCAGTGTTGGGACATTACTCTAAATTTAGCGTATGACTCTTAGCAACAGGAATCCAAGTGGTCTACATGCTGCATCTTGTCGGTGATATGCTATCGATACATGATGACAAAATCTTAGCTCTTACCAACTTTATGTCAGTAGACACAATTGTCCTGATAGATTATCAATAAGTCATAACTTATCTAATATAATTAAAAATACTACATACTAGAACATTGTTTCGAATCATAGGTAAAGCTCTTTAATTTGGGCACCATGTGCTCACTTCCATTTGACTTTGAAACATATAGGTCGATCCACATATATCTTTTATTCTAATTCTCTTAGAGAAAATCTGACTACATCCATGTGGACCAGTTTAAGATCCATATCTTTGCTACAAGAGTCAATTTTCAGTGAATGATGACTTTCTCACGGAGATTAATATATATTCTCATCAACCATTCTACAGCTTTGGTGTATCATTTTGCCATCAATCATATCCCGCACCTCTTGGTCGTCCCGTACCACTTCATCTGGAAAACTCATATGTTCTTAGTGGTCTTGTATTTCAGGATATTTCTTGCAACTCTAAAATTTTTAGGGTTATTTTTATAATAATTAAAACTATGGATCAATTTTTAAAAATTTTAAATTTCAGCGGTCTACCAATAGTTATAAATTTTAAAATTTTAGAGTTTTTTTTGCGATTTTTATATATTAAAGGAGTTTTTTTTACAATTTTTGTAACTTTAAGGTTAATTTTGGCAAATTTAAATTTGTAGGTGCCTGAGGGTAATCTATTGAATTTATCTTTTGTTGTTTGTAAATTTTAAAATTTTAGAATTTTACGGTGGTTTGTTTATAATTTATACTTATGAGAGTGTTGCTATAATTTTTGAAACATTGATGGTGTTAATTAGAAAATTTAAATTCTTTAGAGGCTGATGTTAATTTATTGATTTTGTGTTTGTTGTTTTAAGTTTTTAAATATCAAAAATGTTTATGTGCATCATGGTAATTCCTTAAATTCATCTATGCTATTTGCAAGTGTTGAAAAATTAGAATTTCAGGGTGCTTGTTTGTAATATAAACTTTTTAGGATATTTTTATAATTTTTGAGATATTGAGGTGTTAACTATAAATTTTTAATTATTCGTAAACTTTTCTTAATTTCTTGATTTCATATTTCTTGTTTTAATTTCTGAGACGTTAGGATGGATTTTATAATTTTGTACTTTTCAGGAATTTTTGTGCAATTTTAGAACTTTTTAGGGTTTTTTACCATACTTCGTATTTATAGAATGTTAGCTACGTATAATTTCTTTATCTTAACAAACAAATACTATAAAGATATTTTATATATTTTGTTAATATAATTTTTTAAATTGTTAAGCTATACATAGTTCACGAGAATTAGGATATGATATAATTATGATTAGAATAGATTAACGTATTTGAAATATTTAAAATAATGAAGGGTAATATTAATCATAGAAAGAATTTCTCAAACTCATGCTTTTAAAGGGAAAAATATGATTTAGGCTGTTTATTGTTTCATAACTATGATGTGAATGAAATTTTAATAAATATTTTGCTGACATTGATAAACATGAATAGAAAGACTAAAGATCTGAAATGATTATTGTTGAAATAGACGGATTGAGCACCAGGAGGAAGTACATCGACATTACTGGGGAAATAAACATGATTTTTATTTTTAGGCTGAATATTGAAAACCACTTTTCATCCTAGACGATTATCAGATATCTTTCGTAGTACGCTTCAAATTTCAGAAAACCTCCTTTAAGTTTAGGGGTAGAAAGAGACACCAGTTAATTTTAAGATTTTATCAAGAAATCCCTCCGAAGTAAAATTAATTGCAAATTTCCCACGGGTGGATAAAATTATGTAATAGGATATTTTGCGCTAGCGAAAATTAGGGCTCACTCTTTTAGAGGGGTTTTCTGAAAAAAAATCTCAAAGTGAAAGGGATTTTTCTGATTAACCCTAAAGTTAGGAGTGTTTTCTAATATTTTTGAAGTTATGGGGTCATCTGATAATTGTCAAAAGTTAAGGAGAGTTTTCTAATATAATTTAGCCTTTTCTTATGCCAATGATCTAAAACAATAGTACTCACATCTAGAACGAAAAGAACCAATGTATAACTGTGATTGAGAAAATGAAACATCTGCATAGGAGATCACTTCAATTCTAAGTATTGGGAATATCTTAAAAATGGTTCACTCCGATTGCCTGTTTGGCAATTGGAATTTTGCCATGAAGCTTGTATGCGGGCGACCGACAAATTCCGTCGCGGAAAAGATAAGCATTTTAACAATTGTCCAAACGCCAACGGGTTCGGTATTCGTTTCGGCATTGCAATGTTGGTCCTTTGCATCTCCAAGTTGTCATCTGAGACAATTTCATGTAATAAGTTTCTTCCTGCAGTATCATCACACAACATGAGAGGAATAACTTTGGAAATGTGTTGTTTAATGCCACTATGATTGTTAATTGTAATGTAAGCATTACTCGCATGCAATTGTTATCCTTGCAGCTGAGGATACATGCATCTATAATTACAAATTACTTGTTTGTAATTATAAATACATTCACTTATGTCGAAGAAATAAGATTTTTATTTTTATTTTTTTATTTTCCCACGGAGAAAAAGAATGTCGGATCTTACAAAATAGGGCCTCTTTTAATAGAATCTAACCAATGCAAAAGATAAAGAATTAAGGTAGGGTAAAGAATTCTCAACTCCACACCATTCCTTTCCATTCAATCTACTACTTTTTTTTAACTAAAGGAGAACAATAAAATGAACAATAAAATAACATCCTCTTCTTTTATCTCCCTACTCTTTCTTTCTCTCTCTCCAAACTTCCCACGTTTCACAACCACTTCCAATCAAATAACCAACTGCTCCCTTAAGTCAACATTTTTCCCTTCTCATCTACACCCAAATTTAACTATCAAAAAAAAAAAAAAAAACTGTAACAATATATATTTCCCCCCATTTCTATCTCCTTTCGAGTCCATTTCTAATCTCCAAGTATTTAAACTCGAACTTCGATCTCATCAAAATCTCAGATACTCTCTCTGATCCTTCACTCTCTTTCATCAATTAGGAAATTACCCCCAATTAAAGACTCCATCTTTGATTGAATCCGCAGAGACTATGAGCACCAATTGGTCTTCAAATCGATGCACGAGGATGAGCTCCAGGGTTTCTCCTACAGAGGCTGTCCCCGGAACTGCGGCTCAGAGTTGGAGCCCTCCACAACCATCGGCGGCGCCGCTTGCAGTGATTCTGGCAAGCGGCGACGGTGGCAGCGGCGCGCTGATCAATCTTGAAGCCAGCGATGATGAGGTTCATATGTGGTCCTCTCCGATAAGAATTCCTCAGGTTTAGTTTGTTTATCTTTATTTGTTTTATTCATTTTTATGGCTTTCATACTTAGGTACTGTTTGGCAACCAAAAAAATGTCTTATCTAAGAGCTTGTGTCTTATTGACTTTGTTAATAAACTAGTAGAGCTGTTTGGTGACCAAAAATAGGAGGAAATTATTTTGGAGATTGTGTCTTTTGCAAGTAGCTTTTGAAAAACTACCTCAAGTAGCGTTTGTTTTTGGAAAGGAGCTGTTAATTTTTTTCTTCCGTTTTTGCCCCTAATAATTCTAATTTTATATCAATAATATTGCATGTCTTTTTTAGTCATTTAACAAATTTAAGCTAGTTGTACAACTACTTTTATCAAACAGCTCTAGTCAATCAGCTAGCTACACAGCTAACAGCTTTCAGCTATAATTTCACAGCTTTCAGCTAGCTTAACAGCTTTCAGCTATAATCTCCCAGCTTTCAGCTAGTTTTGCCAAACAGAGCCTTAATTTAGGGTACTTATGAGTTCTTGAAGAAAGGATATGATGATTGTTTGACTACCCTAAAAATTTGGGATTAAGGTTTTCTAAAGCCAGTTCCTTTTTAAGATATTATTTTGGGCTTTTACCCTTAAAATTTTCATATTTATAAGTTAGTCCCTTAAATCATAGAAATTTTTATTTCTCGCTGATTCATAAGAATTACGCCAAAACTTTTATAAAAAAGATGGGATTGCTAGAAAAGAAATGTGATTCTCATTTGGAGATGTACATGTACACTACTGCTCTTAATGAAAAAAAAAAAACAAAACAAATTCATAAAAATTTGGGATTAAGGTTTTCTAATGGCAGTTCCTTTGTAAGATTTTATTTAAAATTTTCATATTTATAAGTTAGTCCCTTAAATCATAGAAATTTTTATTTCCCGCCGATTCATATGAATTACACCAAAACTTTTATAAAAAAGATGGGATTGTTAGAAAAAATTGTGATTCTCATTTGTAGATGTACATGTATACTACCGCTCTTAATGAAAAAAAACAAAACAAAATCTTCAACTCTTTTTTTAATGTGATACTGGCACACAATCAAGCCAAATCGTAATGCACAGGACAAACGTTGTCTCAATTTATTTCCATAAAGTTGAGTCCCTTGGATTAGATCTATAGATAATACTTCATAACTTTCCCATTGGTTTCATGATTAATAATCAAACACATATATAACATTCATTATTAGAAACGAACATAGATGGGTTACATTCTATTAAAAATTTATCAAATTGAATTGTTAATGAACTACCTATTCCTTTATAAACCGAACACTGAAAGTTATTTGTTTAGTACTAAATAAACTATTGAAATAAACTTCTGCGAATATCTGAGCAAATAATAAACGAACTGTTTATTAATTATTCGGTTCACTTCCACCCCTATACTTCATATCTAAAGCAGAATAATTTATTTTCGTAACATGTTTAATATTTACAGAAAATATTTTTCAAACCTTGCTTCACAAGGATCTAAATACTAGTAAACAATTAACTCTGGAAATAATAACAAAAAATATAAATGCTCCGAACTCCTGCAATAATTTTGAAAGGGTCAAATTAAAAAAAGAAAACTTTTAACACTTTCCGCTCTCTCTATAGACGGAAATTTTCCGTCTAGAATAAAGTATTCTAGACGGAATATTCCGTCTATAATAGTATTCTAGACGGTATTTTTATTTTTTATTTTTTTAATAAATAACCAAATATTCTAGACGGAAATTTCCGTCTAGGATACTCATCCTAGACGGAAATTTCCGTCTAGGATATTTTGGCTCATTTAAAAAAATTAACCCATTAAAATTTCCCCCCACATCGAAATTTCTCCCCCCAAAATTTTCAGCCCAAAATCAATATATTAAGAACCCCACTCCCCCCTCCCCCCTCCCCAATTCTCTTTCTAACTCCTTCCCGCTCTCTATCTTTCCCCCAGATCCTTCGACCTCTACATCCCCGACCTCCTCTTCTTCGGCGATTCGACCACCGCCGCTTCGGACCGCTCCGTCGAGTTCCAGGCCAAGTGTTTGGTCGATTCCATGAAGAGATTGGGGGTCGACAAGTACTGCGTAGCGGGGATTAGTTACGGCGGGTTTGTGGCGTATAGAGTGGCGGAGATGGCGGGGGAGGGGGCGGTGGAGAGGGTGGTGGTGATGACGGCGGGGATCGTCGCTGGTGAGGAGGAGAGGAGGGAGCTTGTCGAGAGAGAGGGGAGGGATGTTTCGGATGTTTTGTTGCCGAGGCGACCGGAGGATCTGATGGAGCTTATTAGGCGGTCGATGGTCCGGCCGCCGAGGTGGATGCCGGAGTTCTTGCTCATGGATTTCATCGAGGTCCGTATTCTGTTTTTTTTTTCTTTTTTTTTTCCTAATGATTTTAATTTCGAAAAGCAAATTAATTATGCGATTGATTACTAATTGTTTTTTTTAAAACGTAACTCTCCCGTTTCATTACGGGTTACCCTCTGTTATTATAGCGATACTTATTTAATTTTCATGAAGCGGAGACCCTTTGGTGATACAGTATGATTAACCAAAACACGTACGGTATGATTTGGATGTTGTTGGAAAAATATGCAAATTGTTGCTACAGAAAATATGCAATTGCTTACCCTTTAAGTTGCAAAAAATATTTATTTCTAGAATCATTACTAGAGTTCGGCACATCATACGGTGGAGTGGGGAGGGAAACCAACATGATAGGCTTTGGAATTTTGGCTACCTTTTACTCTTACGAGGTGTTTGGTTTAATTTTTACAAATTATAGGAAATGTTTTCCATTCAAAATATGATTTTCTTGTATTTCTTAAAAAAATTATAGGAAAATTTTTGAGAAGTCAAAAAGTATCAATTTTCTTGTTTTTTTTATTTTGCTTGTTTGGTTCAAAACAAAAAAAATGGCTCATAACTTTATAGAAAATAGCAATATTTTCTATAATTTGTAGAAATTGAACCAAACACCCCCTAAATTTATAGAAAAGTGTCAACTTTATAGACTATAATTTGTAGAAATTGAACCAAACACCCCCTAAATTTATAGAAAAGTGTCAACTTTATAGAAAAATGTCAATGTGGTGTCAGATTTCTGGTAAATTTATAGAAAAGTGTCAACTTTATAGAAAAATGTCAATGTGGTGTCAGATTTCTGGGTGATTTCCGACCATTTTGAGAGGAAATTGATTTCTGTAAATTTTGGTACTTTTTTGTACTTTACAAAAAACATTTCTATAAATTTTTTTGAACCAAACTTAGTTTATGGAAATCTACAGAAAATTTTTATTTACAAAATTGTCATTGTCATACATTTTGAGAAAACTTTTCTATAAAATTGTGCAACCAAACACCCTTAGACACTTTATTAGGCTAATAGGATTACAATTATAAGTAGTGTCGGCTAATTTGCAGTTTTATGATCAGTTTTTTTATCTTTGTTAGTGGAGATAAATATCGTAAAACGTTTGTTGGAGTGCTAGAGAGAATCTTTTTTATGATGAACTTATGTGCTTAATTATTTACATTGCATCTCTTTATTGTTCTTTTTGGCTTGGTTTGTATTAATGATACTTTATGTCATTTACATTTGTTAAGCTTGTGATCTTGTGTTAGAGAACCAATACAAATAAAAGCATAGAGATTACAAGTATTCATTGATCGAATCTGACATGAGGAAATGGACAACTGTTATGTAAACTTGAGGTTATCGAACAACATTTGTTGCTATGGCTTGCGAATGGTGTTTTAAAACATTATTCGATGAATTAAACAGCAAATGTGACAGCTAGCTGCTTTGGTCCCTTCACATTTTGGACGGAGGCGGACTGAATATTCTTATGTATGAATGCAATATTCAAGTTTTTTCATACTTTACTTTGATTAAATAACTTAAAAAGACGTACAACTAATGAATAAAAGAAAAAGAAATGTTCAAATGCTATAAGCTTGATATTTCTTTCTAATTTCAGGAGGATAAAGTTGGATACGGTTCCTTCCCATCGATAGAAAAATAGTGGAGAAACTTATTACAATTATTGACTATCTAGTAAATGGTTATTATTTATATTTGAATTAATCATGAACGACTGCAATTCATGAGGGTATGATGAATGCATGTTCGATCGGGAATGAATCGCACTTGTCTTCTAGATAATCAACGGTTGTGATAAAAATAATAATATATTTACTATTTTTGATAGTGATAATTCGAAAAAAATTAGCCTATTCTCAGTTATAGTCAATCTTAGAGTAGTGATAACTAGGCTATACTTTTGAAACTTCTTCTAATCCAAAAATTATGGGGTCCTAAATAACTTATTGATTTTGATGGAAATCCAAATACTAAGGAAAACACATATTTTTTTGTGTAATAATGTAAAAGTAGTATAAGAAGTGTAATTTAGGTAGAAGTATCATCATCTTATCTTTGCTAATGGTTATTAGTGTGGAAAAGCCAGCGATTCCCACAGTGGCGGGAAACATGCTTCAAAAAAGCAGAAACGGCAATAGATCCTTCTACCGACATTTATTTGGGCCCCGCATAAGAAATTGTGTGCCTTATTTTGTCTTCACCCTCCTAGCCTATTTGTCAATTTATTATTGCAACGAGGACCTCGCGCTATTAATGAATCTATTTGAAGGCCTTTATCAAAGTGACAAGTGCACTAAATTAGGCGTTGCGTATTTTTCTTTTTCGATGTGGGAAAAATTTCACGTAATCATACCCTTTTATGTTTATGTTTCAGAAGTTGTCCTCTCTATACTCTCCTTTATCAGCCAATGTAGTCTTGCATGCATTGTATGGACCCAAATAAGCTTAAAATATTTAGTTAAAAAGAGTTAAGATTAAAATAAGGACAGAAATATTATTAATTATAAAAATTAATCCGTAGTTGGATTATGTCAGCATAAAGATGGTTTGGAAGTGGGTCAACTGTATTTAAATTATACAGATGGACATCGTAATCACTGCACAAACATAAACATACGACTCCGATAGTGGGTCAACTGTATTTAAATTATACAGATGGACATCGTAATCACTGCACAAACATAAACATACGAGAATTATGTACAGACCAAAATATAATAATATAGTGGGAAATTCTTTGTTTTGCTTTCTGAAGAACAATTAAAATCTTTCAAAACTTTACTGCTATTTGATATCATTAATTTTTCCTATTCAATTCCAGGTAATGTACAAGGATCGGAGGAAAGAGAGGGTGGAATTGTTGAAATATTTGATAGCGAAGGGAGCTGGAGTGGACCCTCTTCCAGTACTAAAACAGGTTATATTCATTTTGATACTCAACTTGCATAAAAAGAATACAATTGTCATAATCATAGACTAGTTACACTACCAAGTGCACTAACAATTATAGGCTTGATGTTGACACCAAAAGAGTCCCACATACTGATCGAAGAAAGACGTCTAAATAACATTTGTCGTCTCATAATTCAGAAGCGAAAATAGATCACTTGTAATTGACTGTTCTTCTCAAAATGCAAGTCTTGGCTAATCTTGCGACAGTAAGTGCTAAAGCCTATAGTAATAAAGTTTGATGATATGAGTAATACTAAATGTAGGATTTGTTAGATTCAATAATCATACACTCAAAAGAATAACAATGGAAGAACAAGAGGAGCAGCCGCATCCATATGTAAAGAGGAGAGTCTGAGCAAAAAAGAATTAGGTTTTACAAGCATAAAAGGCATATATATAGAAAACATGGCTAGCTAGGAAAAGACCAAAATGCCCTTGAGGGCTAACTGATATAATACACAAATATATGCTAACATCCCCCTCAAACTCGCGATGGGGCAGCAAGCCGCATCCATATGTAAAGAGGAGAGTCTGAGCAAAAAAGAATTAGGTTTTACAAGCATAAAAGGCATATATATAGAAAACATGGCTAGCTAGGAAAAGACCAAAATGCCCTTGAGGGCTAACTGATATAATACACAAATATATGCTAACATCCCCCTCAAACTCGCGATGGGGCAGCAAGAAGCATCGAGAGTTTGCCAACGAAGAACCAATGACGCTGGAGGGTATGAGCCTTTGTGAAGAAATCTGCAAGTTGCATAGAGGACGAAACAAAGGGCAAAGAAAGAGTCCCTTGCTGGAGATGATAACGAGTCACATGACAATCGATCTCAATGTGTTTGTTGTGTTCATGAAAAACTATGTTGTGCGCAATCTGAATAGCACTCTTATTGTCACAGTACATCGGTGTGGGGGAAGAGAGAAGTACACCCATAGCAGCTAATAACCAACATAGCCATACAATCTCACACGTGGTGGAAGCCATAGCACGATACTCTGCCTCAGTTGAAGAGCGAGAAACAACATCTTGTTTCTTACTCTTCCAGGAGATGAGAGAATCACCTAAAAATACACAGTAACCGGTAGTAGATTTCCGATCTGTTGGGTCACCAGCCCAATCTGCATCAGAAAAAGCACGAAGCTCCAAGGATGAGGTTGATGGGAACAAAAGACTCTGATAAAGGGTGCCCCGGAGATAATGCAGAATGCGTATAACAGCACCCCAATGTACAGATGTAGGAGAGGAAACAAATTGACTAACGATGTGAACAGCATAAGCAATATCGGGGCGAGTAATAGTCAAATATACCAGGCTTCCAACAACTGAACGATATAGGGTGGGATCTGCAAGAGGAGTACCATCAGTAGGAACATAGCGAGCATTCAACTCAAGTGGGGAATCAACAGTACGAGTATCTATCAGGCGGGCTCGCTCAATAATATCAGCAGTATATTTAGACTGAGAGAGAAGATAACCCTTCTCCGAAGAAGCTACCTCGATACCTAAGAAGTAACGTAGAGAACCTAAATCTTTCATATCAAAGCAACGAGACAAGGTAGATTTTAATCTGCGATACCATCAATATCATCACCTGTAATGATCATATCATCAACATACAACAGGAGCAAAATACGGCATGTAGAAGATGAGCGAACAAACAATGCCGAATCATGATGGCTAGAAATAAAGCCAAGAGAAGTGACTACCGAGGAGAATTTGTCAAACCATGCGCGAGGGGCTTGTTTAAGACCATATAGGGCCTTCTTAAGCCTACAAACCTGCCCTGGACTATGTGAAACACCTGGTGGAGGAACCATATATACTTCTTCTTTAAGATCACCATTCAAGAAGGCATTTTTAATATCCAATTGCGAAATATGTCACTGACGAACAGACGCAACCGCGATAAGAACCCGAACAGATGTCATCTTTGCAACAGGGGCAAAAGTCTCCTCATAATCCATACCATACTCTTGAGCAAACCCCTTTGCTACAACTCGGGCTTTGTACAGCTCAATAGAACCATCAGATTTTGTCTTAATTTTGTATACCCATCGAGAGCCAATCGTTTTCTTACCATGCGGAAGAAAAACCAAATCCCAAGTACCAGTTTTTTTCAAAGCAGACAGTTCCTCAGCCATAGCCTTTTGCCAAGCAGGATCACGAACTGCCTCTGAGTAAGAGGTAGGCTCACAGAAGGAATTAATAGACACTAAAAAGGAAGAAAAAGATGGAGAATAACAAGAATAAGCAAAATCTGGTAACTGGGTGGACTTACGAGTGCATGTGGGATAGCGAGGTGGGTCGGGATCCGCAATCACAAGAGGTTCTGGAGTAGCTGTAGCAGGGGGTGGACTGTTACCCTCGTGAGACCTGCAAGAAGGCTGAGAAGGAGAAGACGGTATAGATGACGAATCAAGTACAGAGGGTTGAGAATCAGATGGGCAATCATCATTGAAAGGAGCAATCTGAATAAGATCAGATTTGGTCATACCATGCGAGCTAGCTGGATGGGCAATCATCATTGAAAGGAGCAATCTGAATAAGATCAGATTTGGTCATACCATGCGAGCTAGCTGGAAGGGAAAAGTAAGGAATATGCTCAAGAAAGGAAACATGACGAGAGACATACAATTCTCTAGAGTCCGGATCATAACAACGATAACCTTTTTGCCCAGCACCATAACCAAGAAATACACATATAGCAACAACGCGAGAGGATAACTTGGTACGTTCTACATGTGGACGAAGAACAAAACATGTAGAGCCAAAAACCCTCAAATGAGAATACTCAGGAGTGTGACCAAATAATCTAGCATAAGGAGAAATGCCTGAATTATGAGAAGTGGGGATTCTATTGATGAGATAAACAGATGTAAGGACTGCTTCTCCCCAAAACTCACTAGGGACATGAGCAGACAAAAGCATAGAACGGGTAGTCTCAACAATGTGCCTATGTTTTCTTTCAGCTACCTCATTTTGTTGTGGGGTATCCGTACAAGAAGTTTGATGCACGGTACCATCAGATACAAAAATGTCAGAAAGATCCCCTTTAGTATATTCGCCGCCCAAATCAGAGCGAAAACATTTAACAACAGCAGAGAATTGTGTTCTGATATACGCTTGAAATTCTGTATAAATATTAATGAAATCAGAACATCGTTTCATCAAATAAACCCAACAGTAACGAGTGTAATCATCAATAAAAGAAACATAATATCTAGACCCCCCCTTTAGTGGAAATAGGAGCGGGACCCCAAACGTCAGAATGAACCAAATCAAAAGGTGCAAAAGAGGTAGATGTACTTGTATTAGAGGGTAAGGCAGAAAATTTTCCAAGTTTACATCCACTACAGTCAGAAATATCATGTGAATGCAAGTCACCTAAAACACCACTACTACTCATAAATTTTAGGCAAGAGCTCGAAACATGACCAAGTCGAGAGTGCCACAAATAAAACTTAGAAGAGGAAGATGTCAAATGAAAAGAAGATAGATCAACACCCGTTGTAGCAGCATGAACAGGAATTTGCAGGTCATCCAAAACGTAAAGTCCCCCCTTTCTACGGCTTGTCCCAATCATTTTCTTGGATTTTGGATCCTGCACATGACAAGAGGTAGAAGAAAAATGAACAGAATATCCAGAATCACATAATTGACCAACAGAAACAAGACTCATAGTCAACTTTGGAATGCAATAAACATCAGATAAGGATATATTTGTTGTGTGAATGGTACCAATGCCTGCTAGTGGCATGGGTGTGCCGTCAGCTGTCATAACAGAGGTAGATGGGGGATCACTAGTCATGGATATAAAAGATGAACAGTTAGGAGACATATGATTGGAGGCCCCTGAGTCTAAAATCCAATGAGACGATATGTTACCTGAACCATTTGATGTTGACAAACCTGAGGTAAATGGAGCAGACATGGCATAAGGCTGAGACTGAGGGTGAGGCTGACTTTGGGACTAAAACTGGGACTGAGATTGGCTTGCAACAAATCTCTCAAACTGCTCAGGTATAGAATCAATATTAGGACTCCTATAAGAGGCCAGACCCAGGTGATCCGATGATGGTACCAATGCAGCTGATGAATGAGGATAACTGTTCCGAGGATGACCCCCAGAAAATGGCTTCTGTTGCCCACCATGATACTGTTGGTGAGCCTTACCGCCTTGGCCCCCAGAGTGTGACTGTGAAGGCTTCCAACCTTGTCTCTGACGTGCTAACTCTGGGCATTGATTCTTCCAATGCCCTGGCTTCTTACAATAGTTACAAACCCCCTTATCATATGATCTGTTCTGATTTGAAGTGGCTCCCAAAACTGGCGAAGATGAAGGAACAACTAAAACTGATGCATGTGAAGTATGCACTTCCTTGTCACTCTGGGTCTTGAGACGAGTTTCATGATCCAACAGTTCATTAACAACAGAATCAACAGACGGCAATGGAGTGCGATGCAAAATCGATGCACGAATAGTCTCAAACTCTGGACGTAGGGCCATCAATAGCTGAACTAGACGTTGTTCCTCTCTACGGGTAATATAAGGTTCAGAAACCTTCAACTCAGCAGATTCTGTCAAGGCCAACTGATCCCACAAATCAGTAATCTCAGAATAAAAATCTATAACACCCTTATCATTCTGCCCTAGAGCACGAATTTCAGATTCCAATTGATACTGGACAACAAAATTAGATCGCACATAAAGCTTCGCCAAATAGTCCCAAACCTCCTTAGCAGTATCATACTTGGCTAATTGCACACCAATCCTATTCTCAACAGAATTATTAATCCAAGTAATTATTTTCGAATTACATGTATCCCACACATCCAGAGCTTCTTCATACTTAGCATCTCCAACTTTGGGAATCTTAGAAGTACCAGAAACATAACACCATATCTTCTTTCCTTTCAAAAAATTTTTCATTACATAACTCCAGTAAGAATAATTTTTGCCATCTAAACGAACACCAATTGATTGCAATGAATCATCTCCTCCAGCCATTTCAACAGGAACAATTTAAAGCCAGTAATAATTCCCACAAACACAAAGAAAAATTCAACAGCACCACAAAGACAAATCTTCACCAAACAGATGCGAAAATTAGGACAAAACCCCCTTGTGATCCACAAAGCATCCCCAAAATCCTGACCCATGTAATCTGTTCCTTTTCCAAGCTCGCTTCAGGAAAGGATTTCTCGAAAGATCGATTCGCCCTTTGCATTGATCTAATGGCGACGACGGAGGGCAAACAGATGGCGACTAAGGACGCGAAGATCGATCTCTCGTTCTCCGGCGTCGTTTTTATCTTGATAAAATCAGTTCAGATCATGAACCATGCTCTGATACCATGTTAGATTCAATAATCATACACTCAAAAGAATAACAATGGAAGAACAAGAGGAGCAGCCGCATCCATATGTAAAGAGGAGAGTCTGAGCAAAAAAGAATTAGGTTTTACAAGCATAAAAGGCATGTATATAGAAAACATGGCTAGCTAGGAAAAGACCAAAATGCCCTTGAGGGCTAACTGATATAATACACAAATATATGCTAACAGGATTATGTATAGTTTATCCCTTTTATAATACATGCCACGTGATACCATGTGCTTGCATCAGTGGCATGCATGTAGAATTTATGCTTCGGCCATGCTCTGCTTTTCTTGGTTCTGGCTTGTCCACGAGCGCTGTGATATTGAGAGGTAAACTTACGATGGCTTAGATGAATGAAGTATCGTTTCTGTTTCGGCCACAAACAGTTTTTTTTTTCTTTCTATTTTTCTCCATAAGAATTGGAAATAGGAAATCGACATAAGAATCTATTCTCCTGATTTTTGAGAGATTGGCACCATGGGATCTGTGCGAGCTCCTTGAGTCTTCTATTTGTCCTCTGTTGTATTCCTTCTATGTATGGTTGTGTACTTTTAGACAAACCCAGGTTCTCTTCAGATATGATTACCACAATATTTAAACTTAATTATCCGGGTTAGAATGAATTTAGAAGAGCTTAGGGTCCCTTAAGCTTCCTTAATGGCTGATCGCTTTAAGCAAAAGATTCCTGCATAAATATGAAACATGGGAGTGTCGGAGTTAGGTTCTTTGGCGGTTCTTCCGATGATCAAGTTAGTGATGTTCTTAAGAGAGAAAAATATGTAAAAGAAGTACTTTTTAGGATTTTCTGTGGTGGAGAATAGCGTCCCCTCATGCAGAAGACAATCTGCCTATTTATAATGAACCAACAAGGGTATTTGGGTAATTTCGGCCAGGTCCATGCAGTCGGCTTAGTTAGCCGATATTTTGCATGTGTTGGTAGTGCACAATCTGAGTCATCCTTGCGTTTAATACTACGGTGACAAAATGACTAAGGTATTGGCGTGGTCCGAGGAGTCATTATGACTTCGGTGGCGAGTAATGATGACTCCAGGCATGCATTTAATGTGACGGTGGCTGGCCAAAGTCTCCTAGGAACACGAGGCAAATAGGTTTCCTTATGGTTCAAGATGCGTCGCCAAGTCTCAGTGAGGACGCCTATCGTCTCGGATTTTTTGAGAAAACTCGGGCGAGGATGCCTTTTTGTCTTGGATACCTTGAGAAGGTCCGAGTGAGGATGTCTTTCATCTCTGTTCTCAAAGTGCTTCAAGGAGGGGAACCCGACACTTATGAGACATGGGCGGGTCCATGTATCAAGTTTGAGTTGGCTGATTGAGACACACGTCATCCTTTTGAGAGTAGTTTATACTTAGCAATTTCTGTGATACAACAACGTGGAATTTTCACAATCATAAAAAACGATTTCCAAAACAATAGTGGCTTTGTGCACTATAACAAAAATCCTAAGTGATCCTATTTTATTCCTGAAAGTTGGAATGGACGATAATAATAGAGATAATTGGATAATAAACTTCCACTTAATTGGAAAGGGCTTTGATTCGCACATAGACCATTCTTTGATCAAACTTTAGTCTTTATAACAATTAAAATTTAAAAGTGAACTAAAAATATGAAGATTAGATTCATCGATGTCCATGTGTATAAGCTGCCTTGATTATTTGTAAGGTTGCTTGACTTACAAATTAATCAGTTTTTTTATAATATAAAAATAAAAAAAAAATCCTATTTCTTGACTTTACAGCATCGATAGATTTGCAAAAAAAAAAGTTCATGATTTTAAGGGTTTAGTTGAAAATTCACCCCATCGCTTCGCTTGTAATTTCTACCCTTGGTCTAGTTTAGTGTTCACGGTATGTTTCTCTATATTAATTTGAACGTTTAATTCTTATTTATTTTACTTTTTTTCCTCGCTACTTCCAGGAGACTCTCATCTTATGGGGTGACCAGGATACTGTGTTCCCCATTTCTTTGGCTTATAAATTACAGAGGTACATTATTCTTATTCATTTAATTTATTAAAACCTATTACAGTGACCATGAAATATACTAGACATTTCATTCGGTTTGATAGATTGCCTGCAAACTGGTAGTGACGGCTTAGACCTTTTAAATATTATTAACTGTTTGTCTTGCTCAATGGACACCAATATGATATACACCATACCAATAGATTATGCGACACAAAGTACATGAAAAATGGTATTAAATAATATTTATTATGTTATAAGCCTCGTTCCTATTAGTGGGGTGTATGCCACATGATGCTCGTGGAGGACCTAAGAATTTCTCCAATTTAAGCATATGCATGCAAATAAAATAATAATAATAATAAGTCATCCAAATTAGAAAATAAAGGGCTTGTCAACAGGGTAGAAGGGATTCAGATCCTCTCCTAATAAAAAACGCTCCTAATATCTCCTAATAAGGAGATCCTATCCTTTCATTTTCATCATGACCTTTCATTTTCCCATCCATCCTTGTGGGCCCCCTTCTAACTCTTCACAATTCTTCATTAGGAAATTCCCAACTCTTCACAATTCATCGTTAAGGGCCAAATGGGCCCGGCCTCACTTTGAAAAGTTAAAAATTCATAGCATGTAAGGGTATTTGTGAAAGGGTCTTGAATATGGACCGTCTTCCTTAGCTCCTTTTCTTTGCCATTAGAGAGTGGCCAAGCTCCTGTTTAGCAAGAGGAACATAGAGCTGAGGGGAGAAACGAGAAAAATGGAAGAGCAAAGACCATGGCATTTTTTACCTAAAATATCAGTCAACATCCACCTATGTACAGCTGGCGAGCATCGTGGCAACAACTCCAGAAATTTTACAATATAACCCAGAAAAGAATACGGATTGCAAGAGAACCCATACGGAGCCCATACTTGAGCATTTTTTAGTTTGTGCCTTGAATTGGTGAATCTTTTCCGTAGTTTTGATATTTAACTATTTAACATAAATAACAAGTGCTAGTCTATATATCAGGCGCTAACGCATACGTTTAATTATCCCCTTTAGTACGGCTTTTTTGCAAGTATCTTTCTAAACATTGCTTTCGTCAGAGCTCTATTTAAGTGTTAGTGAAAATATCAATTAGATATAAGGATGACTCTACTATGAGTAAACAGTAAAATAGAATCTTAAGAGCATCTCTAACCCAAAAACCCAAAATGATATAGTTTTTACATCAAATCACTATTTCATCTCCAACTCATTACACCAAATGTTACACCAAAAAGAATATTCATTTTGTTATTCTTATCTTTTAACATTTTTATCTATTTAAAATATTTAACAAATTATATAATTATATAATACATTACATATAATTAATTATAATAATATATTTTATGAATAAAATAAAATATAAAAAATAAATGCTAAATCAAATTAAAATATTACTTTCATAAATTCAACTAAAGATTTACATTTAACATCACATATAATTAGTTATAATAATATATTTAACTAATTTTTTTATGTCCTAATGTTTATGTTGTATTTTTTTTATCTAAATGATGTAGTTTTTCTTATTTCTTCATTTGGTTCTAGTATTATGAAATTTTAAGTGTTTGGATTAAATTATCTATTTTTTCCATCGTTAAATTTTATTTTAATAATTATTTTATACTCTAATTTCATTATAATAGTTAATATAAAATAATATATATTATTAATACAAATATAAATAACAAAAGAAAAAAAAATTTGTTTCTGTATTTCTTCTCATAAGACCTTCCATAAAAATTTTTCACAAAAAAAAAATTTACGCCAATGCTACAGTGTTGCGCCAGAAACATTTCTGACGCAACACTGTAGCATCCCTTTTAGAGGGATGTTTAGCGCTCCACTGGAGCGCCAAAACACTCCAAAATGGAGTTTTTGCGCTCCATTGGAGACGCCCTAATTAATAAGCTCGAAAAGGGGAAGGCATAGCTCATTAAATTGCTCTGAGCTAATAGGTGACAATTAGGGTTCCGAATTTGCACTTTGTAATTCCGACCCATACCGAGTTCTTCAAAATCCCAAAGCTTTTAACTTCATTTGTTTTTGGTTTGGTTAAATTGAAAGCTTCATGTTAGAATATAAAAATATCAGTCAAAATCATCATCATAACTTTGGAGTTTTAGTGTAATGGTTGGGGACTTTGACATGGTATCAGAACAATCCAGATTCAAATCCCACTGACCATGAATTTAAGTCCGAATTTGTAAAAGTTGACATCGTTGTGTGAGTCTAGGTATTGGCTCGTAAAAAGGTTGTCCAACCTGCGACCGTTGCGTGAGTCCATATTTCTGTCCGTAACAAAGATGCTCAACCTATGAAAGCATGTTAGAATCGCTGTGCTAATTTTTTTAAAGTCAACTTTAAGCTCTGATACCATCTTAAAATCCCTAACCATTACACCAAAACCTCCAAAATTGTGACGATGGTTGAGAATTATGATTTTATATTCAAACATTTCATG